CTGGTGGTCTGTTATCCCTTACATTGCTCTCAACAGCAGGAAGTTCTTTCTCATTTCTAATTTTATCTCTCACCTCTATTTAGGCTGAGTGAGGAAGTAGAGAAAAGTGTGGGTTGGCTTCCTTCTAACAACTCGCAGGTGCTTGAAAAGTTAAGCCTCTTCTCTCTGAGCAATATCATGCCTTTCACATTCTTTTTTGGCTTTTCTTTCACAGCTACTTAATTATATGTTACTCTTCTCTGACCCTCTTCAATTTCTTCATATTCTTTGTAAACTGTGGACCTTGAATAACGATACTGGCAAATTACATGGGACAAAGGTTTCATGAGATGTGGTAATTTCACGGCTAACTAGGTTCGTGACCCTGTTCCTCACAGGAGTGGTACAAAATAAACCTGCAGAATTACTGAGATGGCAGAACATGCAGCATAATCCTTGCTGGTAGCTAGAATTGAGCAAAAAAATAATTCAAACTAAGACCTGATCATTTCAGAGCAGGGAGGTGCTCCACTCCCCTTGGTTGCTCAGTGGACTAGAGCAGGCATCCTCAGGGAGGAGGCACTGTGGCATCTGGGCTTTGGAAGTCTCCTTCAATCCATTCTGATGTGGCCCTCCCTTGTAAGAGCTGGTGCCGGCATTTCTATATCGGAGGGGCAGGGAAGTTTGCTCTTTCTGGGGAGACGTGGGCAGGGAGTGGATATTTGGGAACAATAATTCAGTATCCCACTCTGGATGTATCGGTGTATAAGTAAGCTCGGGCTGCCATAACAACATATCATAACCTGGGTAGCTTAAACAACAGAAATTAATTTTCTCACAGTTCTGGAGGCTGGGAGTCTGAGGTCAGGATGCTACCATGGTCAGGTTCTGGGGAAGGCCCTCTTCCTGGCTTGGAGGCTGCCAACTTCTCACTGTGTCTTCACATGGTATGTGCATGTGTGTGGGGAGAGAGAGAAAGAGAGAGAGATCGATCTTTCTCTTTCTCTTCCTATAAGGCCACCATCCCATCCTGAGGGCCCCACCTTCACAACCTAACCTACCCCTAATTATCTCTTAAAGGTCCTATCTCCAAATACCATCACATTGAGGGTTAGGGCTTCAACAAACAAACTTTGGGAAGACACAAACATTCAGTCCATAACATTTTGTTTTCTATTGCCACACAGCAAATTACCACAAACTTTATAGCTTAACACAGCACCCGTTTATTGTCTCACAGTTTTCATGGGTCAGGAGTCTGGACATGGCTTAGCAGGGTCACCTGGCCAGGGTGTCACAAGACTTCAGTCAAGGTGTTGCTGGGGCAGCATCATTTCTAGATGATGTCACTGGAGAGGACCACGGGAGCAATAGTCCATCCATTCATACTCAAGGGGAAGGCATTATACAAGGCCACGGGTCATCGGGGATCATCTTAGAACTTGCATGCCACACTGAGTTTGATGGTTTTATTCTTTTCCTTTTTATAGGGGAATTGGATCCATTCCCAATTATAGGTATTAATGATATTCAGGAATATAAATTGTCTTCAAGAAGCAAATCATCCATGTTTGTTGTAAGTAAAATTATTTGAGGGGATTTGTGGAATGATAGCTTTATGATGAAGGTAGGAAAAGCCAAGAATTCTTACTGTAGCCTAAGATAAGTGATATTAACTTCCTATGTGTTTAGAAGTGCCTGCTCTTTGGAGGTTTGCAGGTTTCCAATAAAATCCCTGTTACAAGTGACTGGGTCATTGTAGCCTTTTGAAAGTTTTGTAAACTTCAGCTTAGAGGAGATCAAGAAGTTCTGTGTGAGCTCATTAAAGAAGCCTTGAGAGGTCTGGTGGCATTTTAGGGCTTTAGTGGGACCATGTACTCTTGAATTCATAGGCCCCTCATGAATGAAGAGGTGTTGGGCTACATCTTGAAGAATAGGTAAAATTTCACATGGTGGAAATGGAAATTAGAAGGCTGACTATAAATGGACATTTTCTGGAAGATATTCCTTCTCATCCTCTATCTAGTTGGAGCGAGGCTGGTGTTGGCGTGATGGGAAAACAGAGGACACTCTTCAGAAGTCACATCCTAGGGAGATGGCAGGGTCAGAGCCAGGGCCCCCAGAACTTGGCCATCAGTCTGAGCACAGAGAAAGGAGTGGGGGCTGAGGCAGGGAGCCAGGAGGGTTGGGGTGACAGGAAGGGAGTGCTGAGACATCAAGGCAGGTGGGAGTGGAGGGGAGACAGCCTGCAGGAGTTCCAGGGCTTGTGTGTGACAAGTGCAGTGGCTTTTGTGCAGGTTCACTTAAGGTGCCCAGAGTGGCCTGGACACTAGTGGAGGGTCACTTAGGGAGTTGTTGGTGGGAAATTGGGGACCAAATTTTCGTCAGTCTGGATAGTCAGCCAGGGAGATGAGATCCATCCGGTGGAGGTGTCCTGGATGTCTTCAGTGGAGCAGGCAGAGGTGAGTGAGCAAATGAGCCCTGTCATCCAAGAAGATAAAACAGGAGAGGGCAGGCGGAGGGGATAGAGAGAAACAAACAAATGGAGAGATATCGAAAGGAACTTACCCGGCTTCACAACTGACTGGCCCACTGAAGTGTATGATGAGCTCAGAAAGTGATGGCATTATTAGCAGAAATTTTGAATTCACCAAAAGAAGAAAGTTTGGAGGCAGAGAAATGAGTTCAGGGTTTGAAATGTCGAGCATGAGGTGATGATGAGAGTCCTAGCAGCATATCCTTATGAGAAATGGCAATCTGATTCTAAAATGACTTGGGGGGAATTGTTTATCCATTGAGGAGGAAGAATCCGGCGCCAGGGAGTGTGTTTTGATAGATCGAGTGTTGAGTATAGAAGGGAAGAGAGAGGTTTTGGAGGCATTCAGGGAGAAGTAATGAGACTTGGCCTCAGAGAAACATGAGAGAACAGTCGTCAAGGATTTCTGTAAGGGTTGGGGCTGGAATACAAGGAGAAGGGAGCAGGCTAGGCAGTATCATGAAGAGAGGAGATTTGGGAGATGGGAAAATGGTTGTAAATAGTATTTGTCAACATTGACTGTGTTTGTAAGATGTATGTGCACTGAAGAAAGAATATATATGTGAACATGCTTGGGAGCAGAGCCCTGGTGAGCTCTCTTTGGTTAATGTTTTTGTTTGTTTATTTTTTTGTGAATAAGGTTCAAAAGTCTTTCATATAAAGTACTGGTCCTGATCTTTTTGGAAATCTGCCTGAGACTAGCATGGTGCTGGGTGTGGTAGAGCTGTTGGGTCTAAGACTTGGTCCTGCCCACTGTGGAAGTGTTGGAGGGTGAACTGGGGTCTGTCCCTAAGGGGACCTCGTGGGTCTGTTTAGTAGCGTGCTCTCCTCCCAGGTCTGGGATCAGTCCTATTGGCGTCCCAGGGCAAATGCAGCCCAATCCCTCCAGCCCAGTCCCCAGCTGCCTGGCCCGTGCCCACAGTGAAAAGTCGGGGTGCTTTATCTTCGCAGGAGACCTCAAGTGAAAATGCCAGGACCTTACTTATAATAGGCCTCCCGGAATATTTCCCTGTTGAAGGGGGAGCCACAGCCTCCTTCTCCTCACTGTGTCTGGTGGGATTTGGGGGGTGAGGGAGAGGGGATCATCTTCAGGATTTGGGCTCGAATGACCAGCAGGAGAGGTGTCATTGTGGAAGGCAGAGATGACGAGACAGAGGCTGGGTCAGGGAGGTAGAGACCGCAGGTACATTTTCACACATGCTGAGGTAGAGAGTGACACAGGAGCGGTACCCAGTGGACAGTGTGATACAGTGGTCAGGGGAGAGCTCTGGGCTGCGGGAGGCGTTAGTGTGTGGTTAGAGGAGCATGAATGGTGGATCTCCAATGGAGCCACGGGGTAGAGGAGACAAAAGGCTGAGAAGGGTGTCTTGGGAAGTGAGAAGTGGAGTGGGGGAGGAAGGAGGACCTGAGGGAGCGGAGAACAAGGGCAGCCAGAGAAGTGAGGACATCAAGGGAGCAACACAGAGCCTAGGGGAGAGGGAGCCTGAGGCAGGAAGACTAGCTCAGCCCCCCAGTTGTCAAGGTGGTGACTGCCCTTGTCTGTTGCATTTGGCCACCACTCTGCTGGCCTTGGGAAGAAGAATGTCTGTGGGGCAGTGGGGGCTGAAGCCAGATTGTAGTGGGTGTGGAGTGGCTGTGTCTCCATGGACACAAGAGACTGGGAGTGGGGGATCAGCGGCCAGCGTCTGCCTCAGGGAGCATGGGCTTGGCAGGCAGCCAGAGAGAAAGGGAGGTCAGGAGCTGAGGGGTGGCTCTCCTGAGAGAGAGGACACACAGGTATTCATGTGATAAGGACAACGGGAGGAGCCAGGGGAGATGGATGGCCGCTGGAAGAGGTCCTGGAAGGGACAGGCTTGGGAGACCTGAGACAAGGGGAGGGGCTGGCTGGGGCTGGCCCAAGAAAGGAGTGGACAGCTCAGAGTCAGTGTATTGCAAGTTAGGGAGCCTCATCAGTGACCCCTAGCGCTTCCTCAGTGAGGTGGGAAGCTGTGCTGAGAGAGCAGGGAAGGGCCCTTGCAGGGCCTGGAAGGATAGAGGGGTCTGCTGGGTCCGCCCAGAAGAGCCCACACATAGAAGGCAGGTGGCCGGTGACATGCCAGTGGGGGTAGCTCCGCCTTTCCAGAAAGTGTGTTTTCAATCCTCCCTGTGATTTTTCAATCACACAGCCGAATAACTTACAGGACCAGAGTGGAGTTAGCCCCTGTGGAGGTTCTTTCAGAAAGTGCATTTGCTTTTGGGCCCACCCATGCGGACAATAAGTAACCTCTCAGGGGTGCCTGGTGGCCTGACAGGCTAGATGTGTCTCTCAGAGTGGCTGCAGGCTGTGAACGTCTGGATGGACAGTACATCTCATTGCAGCCCCTCTTGTGTATGTGTGCTGTATTCTAGAAGTTGTCCTTCTTCAGGTGGGAACAGTCGCTACTGTTTTGATTGTTGATTAAAGGTTCCGAAGCCTCTCACCTTCCTGCACCCTTTGTCCTTCCAGGTGCTGCTGTCAGGACTCATTGGTGTCGTCTCCTGGAAAAGGCCTCTCTCCCTCGTGGTAAGTCACACCTGGCCTCATGGTGGCCTTGGAGCAGGGCTCCGCCTGCAGACGAGTGAGTGCTTCTAAGGTGATGGCAGAGAATCCTGGCTTCTTTGCAGAAAGTGGGATACAGACCTTTATAAAAATGTCACCTCTCAATGCAGGTGGGCTCGTCAGTAAGGACCCTGCGCATCTTGCCTGCTCCACTTCTGAGAGTGCCCCTCGGGTGTTTGTCTAAGATGCTCGGTGCCATCCTCTTTGTTTGTTTTGTCTGGGTGCCCTCCTATACACCATGAACAAAGACATTTTAATAAGTGTAGATGTAAGTGCTTTCTGCAGATGTGTAAACACGTTCATACATATACATGTGCTTATGTAGGACCACACAAACAGGATGTATTTTATCAGAGTTCAAGAAATGTTAGCTTTCTGTGTGTTTTGGAGACTGTGAAACTCTGTGAGGGTAGAAGGAGGATATTTCTTGGAGCAGAAGAATGAAGGATGGGACGCCACTTGAACCCTTTCTCACATTGCTGCTGCTTCGTGCGGGGAGGGGTGTGCTGCCTGGGAGATGGAGAGAGGATGATGGTTTTTCTCTCCGAAAAGTACCCCAAGCAAATTTGTGTTTATTGATTTGTATGCATGTTCTTATCAGCGTATGCATTAATATATTTATGTGTCTGTGTCAGGACTAGAGGAAGAGGTTTTCTGGGTTTTGATGGATAATGAAAAAGACGGTGTGGCTTTTTTCTTCTTTTGTAGTAATCAATTATTTAAAGTCTCTTCTTTAAGTGATTAGACTTGGAGATAATGACATGTACTAAATATTAATGGAAATAGAAAAAAACCCCACAAATCTATCTGTTGTAAACACCTCCTCCTTTATGAGTAACCACGATATCCTGAAAAGGTATCGGGAAGGGAATCATGGTATAAATTCAGTGGGGCCTCCTCTTCTACAATATATCGAGAAATTTCCTTTAAAAATGTTTTTATATTAAAATTTTCAAATATGCACAAAAGTAGAGAGACTAGTATAATAAACCCTGGTGTATCCTCATCCATCATCAACAAATATCAGTGTTGGCTCATCTTGTTTCATCCAAGCCCCTTGCTGGATTATTTTAAAGCAAATCCCAGCTAGCGTATCAAGAAGCTGACTCTTTTGTGTAGAGGGAAATGGCAGCAGACACATCGGCTGTGGGGCCTGACGTCTTTGGCTGTGCTGTGGAATGGCTTTTGGGTTCCCTTCAGGGATTCGAGACAGCTTGCTCCATACCTTCTCACCTGCTCCCATGGTGCAAACAGAGTAAGCCCTCTCATGCTGGCCACCAAACAAAGGAAAAGCCCGCCCTCCTTCGGGTGGGTGTGTGGGGCAAGAGAGGAATAGCGTCCATCACCCAGCCCACCCTTCACACCTGCCCCCAGCCCCGGCCCCAGGATGGAGATTCTCATAGGATGGGCATTTTACCACAAAGGATGCATGTGTTTATAGCTGATGAGGAGTCAGGACTCCTTGTGGAGGTGTCCCAGGTGTGTCCTGGGGAAGCCAGAGCAGTAGGGTGGGGTCTCAGCCTTCACCCTTGGAGGAGGGACATAGCACCAGCTGGAGCTGCTACAGCAGAGCTTTCAAACTGCCTGTTCACCAGCTGTGTGGACAAGCTGCTCTACAGGAAGCAGTCAGTGTTACCTCCCATTGATTTATTCCCTCCCAAGCTCCAGGTAGAAGAGAAAGGGTTCGCCTAGCTTGACTGCCTACTTTCCTTACTTAGCGAGGTAAGGGGGTTGGTTGGGTAACACTAGCTGCTGTAACAAACCTCACACTTTCATGGCTTAACACAACGCAAGTTTGCTTCTTGCTCCCATCCAGGGTGGGCATTGCAGGCAGAGGGCCGCTCCCCTGTACAGGTGCATCAGTGACCCTGGTTGCTTCCATCTTGGGCCCTACAATTCCCTAGGCCTGTGGAGTCCTCTGCATTTCAGTGAAAGGGGAAAGAGAGAGGAGAAGGAACACTTGCTTCTTAATTTCCTTGACCTGAAAGTGACACTTACTGCCTGCATGTCAAACCATTGGGGAGAGCTTGTCACAGGGCCCAGCCCGTCTAGTTGGGAAGGAAGCTAGAAAAGGTAGTCCCTCCCTGGACACGTGCTTCCCAGAGGAGGCTCCATGCTGTGGAGGGGAGGGGAGGAATTTTGGTGGGTGGTTGGTTGTCTCTACTGTAAGAACATTCTTCTGTCTGTCCTTGACCAGGACAATACAATCTTTTGAGTCATTAGCCAAAACTCGCTCTCTGAACCATGAGCATTGATGTGGCTTTAGCATCAGCTTTATTTAATGGGAGTAAAAACATTCACAATAATAATAAATGGGAGGAAAATCCATAATATACAGATATATCAGGTTTTCCAAAGAAACATAACCGTAGTGTGTGTACACACACACACACACTCTGTCTAGAGAGACAGAGAGAGAGAGAGAGAGAGAGAGAGAAAGAGAGAGAGAGAATTCCTCTCCTTGGGGGAGGTCAGTCTTTTTTCTCTTAAAGCCTTCAACTGCTTGGATGAGGCCCACCCACATTGTGGAGGGTAATCTGCTTTACTCAAAGTCTACTGATTTAAATGTTAATCACATCTAAAAAATACCTTCTCATCAACATCTAAACTAATGTTTAATGAATGTTTGGGTACCATGGCCTAGCCAAGTTGACACATAAAAGTAACCATCACAACAAAGTTCTAGAAATATGACCAAAAATGTTCTATTCAGAATAATACCAACAAAAACTATAAATAATGATAGTAACTATTCATTGCATATGATCTGTGTGCCCTTATACTCACAACAGTGCTGGCAAGAGTAGGTTTTCCTATTTACAAGAGAAGGGAAGTTCCCCAGGCCTGTAAGTAATGAGCTATGACTCAAACCCAAAGCTTTCTGAGTCCCAAAGCCTCCTTTTCTCCGACCGACTGCAGTCCATGCAGACATGATCTTCTCTGCCCCACAGCTCTTCTCTAGTTACGTATCACTTGACTTATGCTCCTTGAAGCTCATCATCTTACTCCCTAAACTTGTCCCTCTTCTGGTATTTTCTGTCTTGGTTGGTGACATGATCTCCCATTCAACTTAGAAATTGGGGAGTCACTCTTACGTCCTTCTCCTCCCTCGCCTTTTATACCATCCACAAGTTCTTTCATTTTACTAATTTTATATTTATCCAATCAGCATTCTCTTCTCTACTGCTTGAGTCACCTGATCCAGGTCAGACTCTTGCCTTCCCTCCCAGGATGCTGAAGTGGCCTCCTGACAGATCTTTGTGTCCAGAATTTGGTTCTCTCAAATCCAGTCTCCACACACACGGATGGAGCAATCAGTGTCTGAAGCGTTAATAGGACTATGTTACTGTCCTTCTGTAGGCCCGTCAGTGGCTCCCCAGGGCCTAGAAAACAGAATTGAGGTTCCTGGATGACGTAGGAGGCCTCATGGTGCAGGCCTTCCTCCCTGCCCAGCCTCAGCCCAAGACCTGGACTCTTTGGGGTTCCTGGCATGTTGCTCCCCCTCTGAAACATCCTCCCAAATTCCTCTTTCCTCTGCCCTTGCCCTTTCACCTCATTAAGGCTCATGTGTCACTCCTTCCTGGAAGTCTTCTCTTTCCCCCAAGCCGGGGTGGGTTCTCCTCCTCCAAGCTCTGCGTCCAACCCGTCGTCCCGTGTTCCACATCGTGTCGAGACCACCCTCGCACTGCAGTTAATAGTGAGTATGTGTGGGCACTTACTGTGTGCTAATCCCTTTGCTAAGCACTTTATTGAGATTTTCTGAGCTTATGCACACAGCAGCCCTGTGAGAAAGGTACTGTTTTTGTCCCTATTTTCACAGCTAGAATGGCTTGAAGTCTTGATTTAAATAATTGTTTTATCCCAAGCTCCTGCTTCTATCCCCTACCCTAATATGTTTCCATCTTCCTGGGGTTATAAAACTGAAGATGCCACTGTGAATATTCCGGTTCATTGCCAAGAGGACACACTGCCCTCCCCCCAGTAACGACCACCAGAGTGAGTTGCCCTCCCTGAAGGGAGGGTGTCTTGTCCCTCGGGGTAGTTGGAAGAGGCAGTGTTGGGCCCCACTGCTCCAGGGCCTGCACAGCCATGCCCGAGCCCTGCAGGGGTCGGCTGGTGAGGACAGGAAGGAGTGGGCCAACATGATGGTGGGGTTTTTGGTGCTATCTTTGTTCTGTTGGCAATATCATTCCTCCGGAAGGCTGGCGGGCATGGGCCTGTCATAACCTCTGCCGCATCTTCTTTCTTTTCATCACTCTGATCCTATAAGACAGACAGAGTGAGATGAGAGAGAGGGTGTAAACCTGTCTCCCAGAGTGACTGATGTTCTAGAGTGTAGCCTCTGTTAGGGAAGAGGAAGAGAGAGGGAGGGGGCAGCAGGCTGTCTGACAAGGACGGGGAAGGAGACCACCCCTTCCAGGCTGGTGAATGTGATGCGAGAGGGAGAAAGACGAGGAAAATACTGTGACTTTTTTGCCATGGTATTTTCTAAGAGCCTTTCCTATGTGAAAACTAGTGATAGCTATGTCAGTGAAGAATATGTACTTTCACATTACTGTGGTCTTTTTTTAATGTGTGCTAGGTGTCTCCTGCGATTGAGATAATTGTCTTCCTTACGTTAAACTATAAAAGGTTCTGTGTTATGCTGGATGCCAATTAGGAATCAGATTATATAGCTCTGATGAGATAATTTTTTGAAAGATTCAGCAAAACATCTTGTGATTGCTTATGTATCGATAATGGGGACAGTCTCACACATGTCACAGGTAGCATAATTTTTTTAAAAAACGTGAGTGAAGTAGTACTGAGCCAGCCACTAGATTATCTGCAATAACTAATGCTATTGGGAAACTAATAACCATGGGGTTGAAAACATTTTTTTAGAATTTATTTTTATAGATAAATTACAGTTTTTTTAAGCAAAGTAAATCTATTTTAAAAAGCACTAATCTGTAGGAATATGA